TTTCAATCAACACAAACAAAACTGGGCAAACAATCAATAATTCATCTTCCAGATTCCCTCAGCGATGTAGCTCTCAAGAATTGTTCGACCTCAAGCAGTTCCTCAAGCAGTTCGATCTTTAAATCGGCGCCACATCCTTTCAATATGTTGTAGGTGAACGGATGGATCGACGGGATCGATGAAGTTTGTTGTGTGGTTGACCCAATTGAACTGATAGTTGGAATGAGAAGCGAAACTTCGATACGAAGACCATCCATCAGAAATGATCAAGAACAATGCACAATGCAACAATGTTTCAAGAACAATGCACTTCTGGATAGTTGGAAGCAAAGTAGCAACTAATTGGTCGGGAACAAGCACACAAAACTTTTCATTTGATTCCCTGCATACTCTGCCAAAACACCACTTCTCATCCGCCATTCGTCCAACATGATATTTCCGCTTTTCAAAAGTGATTCGTCGCTTTTAAAAGTACATCTCCGGATGTACTTTTAAAAAGGCTCCGGCCTCCAATTGCATGAGTTTTTATTCGGTTCACAGAGCTTTCAGGCATTATGAAATTTTCTCTTGAATAAATATGTTAACAAGCTTTTGTATTCTAAGATGTTATGTGATGTTGCATCATTCGATAACGTTTGCATCATTCAGTTGTTCACAACTGTGACTACACAGTCACAGTTGTGGACGGGATCACAGACTGGATCGTTTAGGGTAGACTTCGGCAAACAAAACCAAAACCAAAACAGACCAAAACCAAAACCAAAACAAACCAAAACTCAATTTGCATATAAATTAACATGTAAATTTAAAATTGTAAAATGCAAGTTTTAATGTAAAATGCAAATTAGCCTTTCACTTTTTCTCACTCCACAAAATCTCGCGGCCGAAAAAAGGACCAAAACACGACCTCGAAATTTCGAAACAAAAAATAGCCTATGGGATAGATTTTTGGATGCTGATTTCAAATCTGCAAACAGATTTTCGCTAGCTCCTCCCAGTCGCGAGATATTGGCGAGTTTTGGTTAGTTTTGGTTTTGGTTTTGGTTTTGGTTTGTTTTGGTTTTGGTTTTGTTATGGTTTTGGTTTTGGTAGTTTTGGTTTTGGTTAAGTTTTGTTTTCCGAAGTCTAGTTTAGGGGATTAGGTTTAGTTTCCATGGGAAAGTGGAAAGTTTAGCTACTTGTGACTGTGCTAGTTTAGCTAAATTTGCTAGTTTAGCTAAATTTAGCTAGTTTAGCTAAATTTGCTTTGAGCTTTTGGACTTGCATTGTGGCCTGATCCTTTTTTCAGCGTATTAAACAAAGAATCAAAGCACGAATTAGAGACTCCACTACGAATGTGATTCTGCTGCAACAATGATCCCAATGTAATTCAAATCTTTGCAACAAAAATATATTAGATTCGTGCATAAGTCTTTACAAGTCTTTTTTCAAATTTTTGTTTCCATAAAAAGAATCCTTTACCGAATTTGTATTTTTATTAAAAAGCTCTATCATCTCTATGCAAAATGGCTTTTGAGAGAAAGCTCAAAGCTTGCCTCAACTCGATAAAAACTCGATTATGTAAAATCTTCAATTGTTGTTTTAAAGAAAATGGTTTAAAGAAACTGGACGGATTGTTTTCAAATTATACAGACTTATGTAAACAAATAAGCTCTATCTTTTTTACTTTGGCACTAAAAACGGTTTGTATTAAAGAAAGTGTCCAAATTGACTTTGGCATCGGAGCAGTTTTGGGTGCTCTCCTTTGCGCCTTTGAAAATCCACAAAAACCACTATTTCCAAGAATGTCTAAAAGCCTAAAAGCCATTCTGCAGAGGAACAATTAACCCTTTTAATAGTTCAAATAGAAATTTCGGTGGTGTGGATTTTTAAAAAAACAAAAAAACATTTGTAAAGACTTCTGCATCAACCCAATATTTTTTTATTTCTGCATTTATGTTTACAATTTTTAAATATCAATTTCCGATTACAACAAGCAGCCGTTAACCCCTCCCGCCTTTATTCAATCAGGATCATTTCAATCAATCCTTTTCTATCAGGAAACTTGAAGCCTGACTTTAATGAAACACTTTAATGTTAATGAAACAAGGTCAACACCTTGTTTCATTGACAATCAAGTCTTAGATGTGAAAGAACCGTTGAATCAGGAGGATTCGTTAATGCTTGAGGAAAAAAGCCAACTAGTACCATTTTTGCAAACACTTAAAGTATTTAAATCCTTCTTTCTCTAGCCTTTCCCATTTTTTGAACGGGAGCCAGAAAGAGGATAAAATTGCATTTGGTCTGGCTGGCTGCCCAGGGTTTGGTCTGGTCTGGCTGGCTGCCTAGGGCTTGGTCTGGTCTGGCTGGCTGCCTAGGGTTTGGTCTGGTCTGGCTGGCTGCCTAGGTTTTGGTCTGGTCTGGCTGGCTGCCTAGGCTTTGGTCTGGTCTGGCTGGCTGCCTAGGGCTTGGTCTGGTCTGGCTGGCTGCCTAGGGTTTGGTCTGATCTGGCTGGCTGCCTAGGTTTTGGTCTGGTCTGGCTGGCTGCCTAGGCTTTGGTCTGGTCTGGCTGGCTGCCTAGGGCTTGGTCTGGTCTGCCTGGCTGCCTAGGGTTTGGTCTGGTCTGGCTGGCTGCCTAGGTTTTGGTCTGGTCTGGCTGGCTGCCTAGGTTTTGGTCTGGTCTGGCTGGCTGCCTAGGCTTTGGTCTGGTCTGGCTGGCTGCCTAGGTTTTGGTCTGGTCTGGCTGGCTGCCTAGGCTTTGGCCTGGTCTGGCTGGCTGCCTAGGGCTTGGTCTGGTCTGGCTGGCTGCCTAGGGTTTGGTCTGGTCTGGCTGGCTGCCTAGGTTTTGGTCTGGTCTGGCTGGCTGCCTAGGCTTTGGTCTGGTCTGGCTGGCTGCCTAGGCTTAGGTCTGGTCTGGCTGGCTGCCCAGAGCGACCATTTTTTGGCCTTTTCCCTCAACTCTTTTTCCATACTCTTCACCAAACGGATTAAAGGTGAATTTCACTTCCTTGTGCGGTTAATTTTGAGAAACCCTGTAGAATGTTTTGACTTTTGAACGTTTTGAACGTTTCCCATTGTCCTTGAAACTCTGCACCTTTTTTGCTCTGGCCTCAAAGAAATCTCTTTTAGCAGACACATCAATCCATTTCATTTGTGGGTTTTCAATTCATTTCTTCCTCATTTTTATTTTACGACGTTTTTCGCTGATTTTTGCTAAAAAACATTTTATCGGTGCGACACTGAGACAGAGAATGACAAGATTTGTGAGGGAAAAGAAAAATAAACAGAGCCAAATGGATCGAGAGATGAAAAGGGGAAAGAGGAAAGGAAAACTTTGAATGAAAAGAAGAGAAGAGAAAGCAGCTAATCTGGAAAATCGAGGCTGAATATTCTAACATTCAACTTTTTGTGGCTATTTCGAGTATTTTTCTTACTATTTCACAGTTCGATAAACCTAGTTTCTTGTTTTTCTTAGACATATCCAAAAAACATCGAAATTATTTGCCGTAAAGCTTCTTTCGTCTCTATCTCTCTTCTCGTATCCTAAAAGCAGTTTGTTATCCGAAAATTGACACTTACAGAAAGTGTTTCATCACTTACTTAGTTAGTTAGACCCATTCTAGAGTATAGTTTGGTCTCCACATGCACAAGTTGATCTCTCCCGAATTCTCCCGTCTAAATAGATCAATTCTCAAAGCAAATAACTTAATGATTTCTGATTTCTGATCTTATTTTATGGTTCAAAGTGATCTTTGATTTTGAAGAGAACTCGGATCCGGCACTAGAATGTTCAACGCTCACTCCAACGATCATTTACCGCTTTTTTGAGATCTCAAAAGACCTAGCTTGATTTGTCTTTTGCCCAAAAGCCTATTAAGGTTTTTTCTGACCAAACGTTCTCTTTAGCCTTTCATGAGATGACCGCTGACCCTCTTTTCGTAAATGTCAGCTGCCCAATCCTCTTCAAAAATGATCAAATCTGACTCAAGCTCTAAAAGAGTTTCAGATCTCGTTTTTTGTTTTTTTTTGTTTCTCTTGTTTCAAAGATCGTTTATGTGCTAAATATCTAGCATCGCTGCTGAAATTTACATTCAAGCTTATAAATTTACATCCAAAAGTAGTCCCAAAGGAAGAAAACGTGAAACGATTAAGGAAAAAAAAAGAAAGAAAAAGAAAGAAAAAGAAATTAAGGAATCTCAAAGCTCAAAGTCTCACCCGAATACCTTTTTCTCCTCCAAACCTTGTATATTATTTAAATTTGTTTATTTCCTCACTAAAAATTGGACTTTATGCTCAGGCCTGTCTTTTTTTTCTGTCCTTTTTGCATCAATTATAATCATAAATACTATTGGGTTGTCCAGTTATGAATGCGCGTTTTTACTACTTTGTAAATTTCTCAAGATATCGAACAGATGTATATGAGCGTTATATATCATTCGAAAGCTGAACATCTCCTCTACATTTGGAATAAAAAAGCTTCTTGAATTCACTCAACTTTTTGGGAAATTGACTGCACAAAGAGGGAGGTCGTTTTCAAAAAAAACTCATTTCAGCTTAGCTATTCCTCAAGTTTTATGGTGTAAAATAACAGCCCAGAAAAGAAAAGAAAAGTAAAGATGCTCTGAAATTGTTATATTTAAAAAAAGTTGTATTGATATATCTATTGGCCAAACATCAAACGGTTAACTCAATTTGAGCCGAGCCAAAACTTGATCCAAAGGCACCCTTCCATTTTTTGGCCACCTCTTCTTCTGTGCAGTCAATTTGCCCAAAAGCTGAACAAATTCAAAAACTTTTTATATCAAAATGTAGAGGAGATCTTCAGCTTTCCAATAATACTCATATATATCTTTTTCTTGATTTCGGTATCTTGAGAAATTTGCAAAATAGTAAAAAACGCGCATTCATAACTGGACAACCCAATATTTTAAATATGATTTTTGATGGGATGTCATTTTTCTTAAAAAATTGCTGAAAAATGTGGTGGTCATAAAGCTTTATCCAGCAGTGTTTATTTGCAGATGTTCACTTATTATCGAATCGTCATTCTGATCGTCTCATTTTTTGCTTTGAGTGCCCTCTCATCCAACTATCTCATCATAAATCTCACTTTCATTTGTATGCAAGATGATCTCAAAGATGGAATGACGAGTGCAAATCAAGTAAGTTCAAGTTAAACGATAGGACTTTTGAACTGACTAGGGTATGAAGAAAATATCGGCACTTTTCCGTTATACAGGGTGCGCCAAAAGTTCTCGTACTTGTATCTTCTGCATTTTTGGTAATTTTAGATAAAAGATACGATTTCAAAAGTAAGAAATTCGAATTCCTCGCGAAAAACTGATTTAGAAAACGTTTCTGGTTCATTTATAAGTGCAACGCTATTTAAGACAAGTGATTGAGTAGAGGCTTCGCTCAGGGGCGCTTTGGTCGGATTTAGAAAACGTTTCTGGTTAATTTATAAGTTGGTTCTCCTTGTCGGACCATGAATTCAGCGAAGTAGCTCGATAGGAAATGACGTGCCGTGCAGCGATGCTTCTTGTTTTTCCATTTGGAAGTTCCCCATAAACGCCCGATCGTCTGCATGTGAATGTGAATGCAGAGTCATCCGGATTCAAGAAGTTGTACTTGTAGTTGACTAGTAAGCAAAATGTGGCGTTGGTGAAAGAACGAGATTGCATCGGCCTCGGTGGTCGGTAAGCGAAACACAAATCCACCGCGCCGTCAGGAAATAGCAATACAGAGTGTCCAGAAAAAAGTGGTCATCGGTTTGAGTCTGGAAGAATTTTCTCGTTGATTTTTCAAGGCTCATCGTTGTGTCAGAATTGGTTTTGCCTCAGATCAACAAGACCAAATTGATTTTTTTGATGATTTTGTGAAAGGGGGTCATGCATGGGCCGGAGAGCTCAAAATCCATGGCAAACACACTTTTGAATTCCTCTATTTCACCGAAAACCTTTCTACTTTTTGTTTCTATAAATTTGTTTTGATATTAGGATCTTGAAAATAATAGACGCCCAAAAAGTCGGTCCTGGGAAAGCCGCAACAAGATGGTTTTCTTGTTTAAAAATTAACCATATTTTCAAGATTTTTGAAGCAGCCAATCCAAAGATGCAAACTGAAATTGTGACTAAAGCATTAAAGAACAAAACAAATTCATAGAAACAAAAAGTAGAAAGATTTGTGGTGAAATAGAGGAATTGAAAAGTGTGTTTTTCATGAATACGTGGATTTTGAGGTCGCCAGCCGTTGCATGACCCCCTATTCACAAAATCATCAAAAAAATCAACTTGTTCTTGTTGATCTAAGACAAAACCAATTCTGACACCACGATGAGCCTTGAAAAATCAACGAGAAGATTTTTCCAGACTCAAACCGATGACCACTTTTTTTCTGGACACCCTGTAGAATTTTTTGTGGTTTTCCTTGTTCATTTGCATGGAAGGATGCCAATTTTGCGGATGTATAACGGAAAAGAACCAAAATATCTCTAATCTTTATCTAATATGTTACGTCCGAATCCGACCAGGCCTCCGGAGCTGATCTGGACGTCCGAATCCGTCCAGAATGAGTGTGATCGGATTTGGAAGTCCGAATCTGACTCGGGCGTTAGGATCTGCTCCGGACTTCCGAATCCGACCACACTCATTCTGGTCGGATTCGGACGTAACACATAATTACAGACTCTCGTCAGCCGTTATGCATATTCTCCATCCGAGAAAAGTCTTATCATCTGGGCAGTGGCCATCGGAACAGTTATCGGCACTTTCCCTTTCAATTTCGCTTTTATCCGATGGGGAGCCAAGTTCATTCTTAAGTAAATTTCCTAAATAAATCAAATTCAGAATCCCATTCCTTATTGGTGGAGTCCTTTCGATAATCTCCACCGGTTTAACTCCTTTGGCCGCTTCACTGTCGCTGCCGTTCTTATTAGTACTTCGATTGATACAGGTTAGTAACAAACACTTCTTAAACTTATGTATTAAAACTAATTTTGAATTTAAAATATGTTTTATGGTTAAGAAGCAGTTTTATAAGCTAGTATCTTGAATAATGGTGTACCAAAAGCCAAAAAAACCGACCAATAAGCCAATCCAAGATCACTGGGCCCAAGCCGACCAATAAGCCAATCCAAGATCACTGAGCCCAAGCTAAACTAGGTCATAATTAGAGTGTTGCATTTGCTTTCAAAACGACCGTAACCTTGTCTTCATTTTTACCTAATCAATGGGATTAAAAATGATGCTTTATGTAGAAAATGTCACCTAAAAAATCTGATTGCAGAATCGATAATAGAGAGCTTTTTGCCTCAACTATGCTTTTCATTTTCAGGGAATCGCCTATTCAGCTGATTTCTCAGCAATCGGCGTCATCACATTGAGATGGGCTCCCCTCGATGAGATGAGCATCTTTATCGCTGTGATGACCTCCTTCATTAGCTTCTCCACATTTATCACAAATTCCGCATCAGCATGGGTGAGGCTTTACTTGAAATCAAACTAAAATAAAATCTCTTGACTTTAACTATTGAGTTGGTGAATTGAAAACGGCCGGACTTTGAACTAAAATTTATTCAACATTCAAAATTTATTCAACACAAAAACCATCAATTCATTCCAAATAATTTCCATTATTATTGACGACTTCTGCCCATTTTACAGGCAATTTGCGGATTCCTCTTTCGTAGTAGGATTTTGGTTTGGAATAGAAAAACTTTCAAAGCCAATTTTTGACTGCCTCTTCCGAATCGAAGTGTTCTCCCGCAAGCTCATTACTCATGTTTCCGGAATAAATAGTAATCAAAAGGCGCGAGGTCCGGACTGTATGGGGAATGCGCCAAAAGTTCCCAAACAAGGCTATTTATTTTAGAGCGAGTCAGTTTTGCAGCATGAGGACACACGTTGGATGAGAACGATCTTTGACTTGGAGGGCCTATTCTTAGAAAGAAATATGAAATACATAGCTGTTGGGTCGGTGAATTGAAAGCTGCGGGACTTTGAACTAAAATCTATTCAACATAAAACCATCAATTCATTCCAAATAGTTTTCATTATTATTGACGACTTCTGCCCATTTTACAGGCAATTTGCGGATTCCTCTTTCGTAGTAGGATTTTGGTTTGTGTGTGAGACAAGTGCGAGACTCAAAAATGGAGGACTGGAGATGTCCCAGTTTGAGCATTTGAGCACTTTCTTCAAAAGAAACCCATTTTGGTGTCAATAGAAAAGTTGTAGAGAATCAAAAATTAGGCTTATAGCCAAATTTCCAAAAAGATACACTTAGTAGTTTCGCTTAAAATGCAAGTTTTGTGAAAATTCGTAAATTTAGCATTTCTTGAAAACCAGTTTTTGAATCGTTCTGAAAATTTGGATATAAGCTTAATTTTTGATTCTCTACAACTTTTCCATTGACACTAAAATGGGTTTCTTTTGAAGAAAGTGCTCAAACTGGGACATATGAAAATAGCCGGAAGTTTTCAATTCACCAACCCAATATGTACTCAAATTTAAACGGATAGTCTAAGTATTGTAAGAGTAATTATCAGTAGTCAGTTTAAGTAAGCAAATAGCATTACTAAGAATATAGACAGCTTCTAGCATCAGCTTATCTCACTAAAAAGCTTGTAATATCAGCTTTCTCGTCGTCGTGCTGCGTTTTCCTCATAAACTTCATTCTTTAGCTTTCTAGTTCTGTACGTCGTCGCTTGGTTGGAGATGGGCTTTCTACTCACATACCATTGCTACCGTAGTTATCTTCAGTCGTAAGTTAGAAAATTTTCAGCAATGATCCTTGCATATTTCAGTCTGGATGTTGATCTACAAAGATGACCCAACAAAGCACAAAAGAGTGACAAGGGACGAGTTGAAGAAGTTGCAAAAAGACAAAACAAAAGCCGAGCTGGAGATCGATTATTTTGTGCCGTACACGGTGAGAAATTAAAGGCTTGACTTAGATCACTGTCAAATTCAACTTTTCAGGCAATCCTGAAAAACGTGAGCGTGTGGGTGCTTTGGTTAAACGGTTTGGCGTTGATCTCGTCGTTGACCTTTTTGATTATTTACATGCCAATGTATCTACATGATGTGAGTTCATTAATTGAAATTTATTCATGAAATTCATGGGAATTCATTGGAAAACATGGATTTCTAATAGTAAGCTCTAAGATCAGGTTTTTAAAAATCAAAACTTCCTTTCCTTACTGTTTAAACCCCAAAATTGGCATGTGATAGTCCGATTAAATGCTTCGAAATTCTGTGTTTCAATTAAAAATCCATTTATTAGTGGGGCCAATGGGGTAGGCTAATTTCCGCAATTTTTGTTGCGTAACAGGGTCATTTGGGTAACTGGGTCATTTGCGCAGCAGGATCATTTGCGCAACTAGCCATAACTTTCTTCTAAGTGGACCAATCTTTATGATTTTGGTTTCATTTTGTAGATCTCAATAAGTGCAACAAAATGACCCAAAAACCATAAAGATTGACATAAAGATACTTAAACTATCCACACTTTTTCTCAAAATGTCTGGATAGACAAAAACGGGTGAGGCTGTATAACTGAATAGTACCCAAAAAAACAATAATAAACAAAGTAAGAGAATAGTGCTTAAAAGAATGAGATGTTTCTCAAAACGCATATTTCTGCAGCCTAGTACAGTAACAAGGTGTGCAAAATAAAATAGAAGTAACGCTTCTATTAGAGTTTTTAATTGTATTGTAATTGTAAGCCTAACTGGCGAATTGTAAGCCGAATTGTAAACCTAGCTGGCGGTTCCAAGACTTAAAGGTAAAACTCGACTCTTAAAACTGCAAGTTAAAGTTTAAAAAAATAGAGCTGGATATGTTGGAAATTGAAGAATAAACGCTTGTCAAAGTATTCAATAGTTTAACCAGTTGTTCAAGTTCTCTATCGTTCAAGTTCTCTATTTTCTAGGTCCTCAAGTTCGATGTTTCCACAACGGGAATGCTTGCCGCCATCGGCCCTCTCATACACACGCTCACCAAATATGTTTCCGGGTTTTTCAGTGACAAAGTCAAGTACGAGAAATTTCTGTTACTTTTGTGTATCTTAAGTTTCAGAATCATCAGTGAAAACAAAAAGCTTCAAATTTGCAATGTGCTGGCAACTGGCGTGCCCGGAATTCTATTCGTTTTGATCGGCCTAGCTAGGCATCAGTGGAATGGAAATTTCGCGATTGTCCGTGAACCTAATCATAACCTAATAAAATAATGCTGTAATGCTGTAACCATGCTGTAACCATGCTGTAACCTAATAAAATAACTTTAGGCTCTAATATTTGGAGTCTTTTTCACGATGGCCGCCAACTGTGGTGGCTATTGGAAAGCTACGACGTTGATCTCAAGGCCAGTAAATCGAAAGATTTTTCTTTGGCTTGATTTTTCTATTAAAGATTGAAATTTCTAAGCTAATTTCTAAGCTAGGTAAAGCCAAGACAAGCTTTAAAAAGCCAATTTTGAAGGAAATTGGTTTACTGAATTTTTGAGCATAACGGCTGATCAAGAGTCAAGAAAGTGGATGCATTTTCTTTAGAATTTCTTTAGATTTCTTTAGAATGTCTGAGGTTACTGTAATTATTGTAATCGGCTTATTGAACACTTTCAGACAATACGCGCATTTTGTGCTCTCTGTGATCCAATTCATGAAATCGGTGGCTCTTTTCACAGCGCCCATCAAATGGTATCTCTTCATCCGGAATGAAAGAGGTAAATTGATTTGAATAGAAGAAGTAAAGTACATGGATCAAAAACAAGTTTAGTCCTTTAGGCCTTTAGTTTAAAGGCCATTTTGAGCTGAGGCATAATTACGGTCCCACGCTTTTTTCCAAATATCTCCGGAATTTTTCGAGCGATTCTCACAAACTCTTTTTTAAATAAAAATTGAAGAGTTTTTCTATGATAGGTTTTTTGGTTTTTGCTGAAAACTGAATTAGCTTTGTTTTTGGAACGTCTCAAAGTTTTCTCCTCTGACAAGCACGACTCTCCTTCTGTAGTTCTCAAAGTTCTCTCCTTCGACAAGCTCGACTCTCCTTCTGTAGTTCTCAAAGTTCTCTCCTCCGACAAGCTCGACTCTCCTTCTGTAGTTCTCAAAGTTCTCTCCTCTGACAAGCACGACTCTCCTTCTGTAGTTCTCAAAGTTCTCTCCTTCGACAAGCTCGACTCTCCTTCTGTAGTTCTCAAAGTTCTCTCCTCCGACAAGCTCGACTCTCCTTCTGTAGTTCTCAAAGTTCTCTCCTTCGACAAGCTCGACTCTCCTTCTGTAGTTCTCAAAGTTTTCTCCTTCGACAAGCTCGTCCTTCTGTAGTTCTCAAAGTTCTCTCCTTCGACAAGCTCGACTCTCCTTCTGTAGTTCTCAAAGTTTTCTCCTTCGACAAGCTCGTCCTTCTGTAGTTCTCAAAGTTCTCTCCTTCGACAAGCTCGACTCTCCTTCTGTAGTTCTCAAAGTTCTCTCCTCCGACAAGTTCGACTCTCCTTCTGTAGTTCTCAAAGTTCTCTCCTCTGACAAGCACGACTCTCCTTCTGTAGTTCTCAAAGTTCTCTCCTTCGACAAGCTCGACTCTCCTTCTGTAGTTCTCAAAGTTCTCTCCTCCGACAAGCTCGACTCTCCTTCTGTAGTTCTCAAAGTTCTCTCCCTTCGACAAGCTCGACTCTCCTTCTGTAGTTCTCAAAGTTTTCTCCCTTCGACAAGCTCGTCCTTCTGTAGTTCTCAAAGTTCTCTCCTTCGACAAGCTCGACTCTCCTTCTGTAGTTCTCAAAGTTCTCTCCTCCGACAAGTTCGACTCTCCTTCTGTAGTTCTCAAAGTTCTCTCCTCTGACAAGCACGACTCTCCTTCTGTAGTTCTCAAAGTTCTCTCCTTCGACAAGCTCGACTCTCCTTCTGTAGTTCTCAAAGTTCTCTCCTTCGACAAGCTCGACTCTCCTTCTGTAGTTCTCAAAGTTTTCTCCTTCGACAAGCTCGTCCTTCTGTAGTTCTCAAAGTTCTCTCCTTCGACAAGCTCGACTCTCCTTCTGTAGTTCTCAAAGTTCTCTCCTCTGACAAGCACGACTCTCCTTCTGTAGTTCTCAAAGTTCTCTCCTTCGACAAGCTCGACTCTCCTTCTGTAGTTCTCAAAGTTCTCTCCTCCGACAAGTTCGACTCTCCTTCTGTAGTTCCTCAAAGTTCTCTCCTCTGACAAGCACGACTCTCCTTCTGTAGTTCTCAAAGTTCTCTCCTCCGACAAGCTCGACTCTCCTTCTGTAGTTCTCAAAGTTCTCTCCTCCGACAAGCTCGACTCTCCTTCTGTAGTTCTCAAAGTTCTCTCCTCCGACAAGCTCGACTCTCCTTCTGTAGTTCTCAAAG